TTCTTTACCAATTTAGAGATTCTTCCTAGAACCTTTACATTATGTGGAGGTTCTTTAAACTTTTAAAAGGGTCTTTACATTCACACCTCACTATTATATTAAGTGAAGTTGTTATATTAAGTTGTTCTTTAATGAACCATCCACTGACAGTTTTTTAGAGAAGCAACAGTGGTTGTTTTATGGCTTTGCGAAAAGAACCCTTGCTGGCACCTTTAATTTAAAGGTTCTATACCAGAGGAATTTTCCTAGAATTATTATGTCCAAGCCAAGAACCCTTTAGGATCTTTTCTTTTTATGAGTTTAGGGAATAAATGTCTTAAAGATGAGCCTACAGAAGAAGAAGTTATGGTTCTCAATGATGGTTCTTTTTAAAACCATTTTTATAAATGAGATTTGAGAGTGTAAAATTTAAAGAACCTCCACATAATGTAAAGGTTCTACTTTTACGGCCAAACCTTTAGGAACCATTTTTTATGACTGTTAGGAATAACAGGATTTGGAGGAGAGTCTAGCATTGAAAAGGGAACTGATAATAGAGAGTACAAAAATGGTTCTTTGGAGTGGTGCCACACAAGAACCACTTTTGCCTCCAAATAGAACCTTGCAGTGGATGGTTCTTTAAAGAAACATTTCAGTAAATGAGATGTGAGTGCAAAGAACCTTTTTAATTTCAAAGATCCTACATAATGAAAAGGTTCTACACCCATTTTAGAATCTTTGAAACTTTTAGAATCATACACCCAAGCCAAGAACCACTAAGGAGACTTTGTTTTGAAGAATGTAGTCTCTGAGCAGGTGAAGATCACAGAGGAATGAAAGGTCACGAGAGGAAGTGATCTGCATGGTAGAAGTGTGGTGCTGGGCAAAGCCCACATCTTTCGAACGTTAACTGCCCTCATCTATCACTGCTTTGTGCCAGCAGCACTCATTTATCACTGCTTTTGTGTTCAGTATCACCTGAAACAGAGTCAAAGGCAACAGCCCTGAAAACCGCCCCAAATCCTTTAAGAAAGGCATTTGTCTTGTGTCCCTGCTGGACTGCCCTGACAGAGATGTCCTTTCTTGCTCTTTATCTCCACTCCATGCATCATTACTCTCCTGCACATCTCTCTGTAGTAACAGCTGAGCTGCAGTATGGAATTAAAGTCACATGTCTTCTCCAATGCTGTTCCAAGTCACAAAGAGGGACACACTTCTGCAGATGAGGAGGGGAAAAAAAAAGAGGTTTGGCTAAAAAAAAAGGGGCATTTCAGGCCAATTTGAATGCCCTACTTCCTCCAGACTGTAAGGCGTGGTGTAACACTTTTTTCTGCATGCGGATTTGAAGCATCTCTGTTAATGTTCCTGGTCTTGTTCAACTAATTTCATGGAATAAAATGTAATGCAAATGAAATGTAACACAAGTGAAATTTTGAATACAGTCAAACCTAATTTATTTAATCACACTGATGTAACCTTAGAGATGCGGTAATTTGCACATACATTTAATAATAAGCAATTGATTTGTATTTGTAATGGACAAAATTGCTTGCTTCATAAATGCAAAATAACAATAAAAAATAAAAATCTGTCTGTAAGGTGTGGTCGCTTTTTCCCCTCATGCATTTGAGGCATCTGCGCTAACAGACCACTTCTTGATGAAACCATGCCTCTCCTGTTATAAATATGAATGACTCTAAATGGTGCTTCAGCATCAGTTAAGTATTCACTCTTCAGCATACAGAAATGGAACACACACATTCGCATATTTGCACTTGACAAAGCGAAGCCTTCATTTTTTCCCTCTAATATTTAATCTAAGGCATTAGCATAGCGGCACAACATCTCAATCAGTGCTCTCTCCAGCTCCACTCCACCAATCTGAATCCTTAATTCAGCCGATGACTCATTAGCTTTTCACACTCACATCATGCAATCATTCCAGTTCTGATGGAATAATGGAAAAAAATGCAAAGATTTGGACAGCGTCCCCGAGAGCATGATTCGTCTGACCTCTCTGTGATTAAATGCAAATGCGACACCTCCATTTTTCCTCTCCAGTGTGAAAATGCTATGGTTCAGCTGGAGGACAGCCAGCGTTTTTTGAACATCCTTTCATCATTACACCTCGCCCTACGCTTATAAACAAAGGCACCAAAAAGAGTTCTTTGGAGTAATAGAATAACCACTTTTGGCTCCCTAAAGAACTTTCAAAGCAATGTCCTTTGTCAGAGAGGAACCAGCAGTACCTTCTAGATTTTCAGAGAGGGCCTAACGATTAAAGGGAATAAAAAAAAATCATCTGTAATTTTGAATCATTCTAATTAATAGAATCATCAAGTTTGTGTTTAAACTCCGCAAACATTATGGTAATACGCTTATTTCATTAAGTTTTGGTTGGAACCACTAACATACAACTAGATATCCTATAGGGGCGCTAGCAGAATTTAGCATTATTTCAGAGGTGTTTTGACATTTATGGTCTAACTGATAGCCTAGCTCTAATAGCCACAGTTTGCAAGATGTGAGTGTGAATAATTTTTTTAATATATAAGTTCCAGCCAAGAACATTCATTTTGAATAGAGTAGGCTTCTATATTGGCTCTAGATATAAAAGGCTACAACTCAATGCATGCCAACTTTTCTGGGTTTAAGAGTGGTCTGAGACCAGGCTGTCTGGGAGGCACAGAGATGTGGGGAGTGTGTGTGTGTTGGGGAGAGGGGCTTTTTTCGGGTGTCTTCCCCCCAGTGTTCCATGGTGCCTTGCGAGAGGAGAGTGGGCAATGTCACGCTCGATTTCCTCCAGCTTCCTGCCTGACACATCTGGCTTTGATAAACAGCTGGCTAACGGGGACTGAGAGGGTTTTTGGGGGGAGGTGTAACAGGAGGGGTGGGTATGAACTGACTGCACTCTTGGCTCTCAACCTAGTCTTTAGAAAACACTTAAAAGAGTATGTGTGATATCAGGCCAGCATTGGCTTTTTAAAGTCATTTCCCGCTATTCCGCCTCTCGGTGCCACCGCTCCCTCAATATAATCTAATCAAACAGAGGGAGGCTCGCTGTCTCATTAGCACACTGATCCTCCAGTATCTTGGTTTGAGCACTCTGCTCATCAGATAACTTTATCTTCAAAAGCACAATTATTTATTCTTTTACTTAAATACCATACAAGAAGGAAATTAATGAGACACACATGCTATTACATGCAATAGGTATATTTTTTTGCACAGAACTAGCAGCTGTTTGGGGTCAAAGGGAATTTCTGTCTACAGAAGCCAAAATGGATAAAAAGTTTTACACCCACACTATACAAACTGAAACTTCTCTTGGATTGCCAAACATGCTGACTATGAACATTTTTGGACTCTTTGAGTGTGTATGTGTGTACATGTGTGTGGGTGATGGTCAGGCTCACTTTGCACCATTTACCCTCTCGCTTCCAGATCTGCTCTGTCTCACTATATCATCTCCTCTTATCAGTGCAGTGGCTGCTGTGCAGCTGCAAATGTCTTGACTCATTCCCACATGGCCAGTATAGAACACAGCCCTTCATGACCCTCTTTCTTAAATAAAACCTGCATAAACTACAAACTGTTGTTGTATAATGGGTTAAAGAACTTATACAAGCATAATCAACCCATTAAACCCTAAAGGTCTGTACATATCATTTACACCAGTTACTGAATCGTTTTTAGTAGTTAATTAATAGTAATTACATAGTAATTACTGAATAATTCTTAGTAGTTACTGAATAATAAGCCTTTGGACAAATATCAGAATAATAAGGCTTTAAGAGGCTAAATGAAAACTAAAATGCATAAAAATGCATACAATAGGGCTGTCAAATTATAATGTGATCACAAGATTATAATGAATTATTGTGATCACATTATTTTGTGTAGTTAATCATGATTAATGACCTTTGTCTTAAGAACTATTTGCCTAAAGAACAATTTTTTTCATCTAAAAGGCAGTGCATTTTGTTATAAGAGTGGACAAAATGAGCTCAATGAGAATGTATTTAATACTGTCATTGATTAAATAGCATTATTTCCATCGTGTGAACGCAAGGTTCACAATACCCTGAACATAACAATCATGTGATTTCCATTGGTTCAAAGCACTGTCCAGCAATGTCTGCTGAAGGTACTGCTTTAAAAGCCATGTAAAAGGTACATTTGAATGAGAGTTTCAGCCTGCACCTCTACAGATGGTTTGAGGGGTCAAACTAAGAAAATTTGTTAACATCATCTTAAAAGTTAGTTGATAATTTATTGTGCTAGCTTTGACAGCCCTAATACATAATATACAGAAATCGGTTCAAAAATAAATGTAATGCATTAGATTTTCTGTAGAGTAATGACAGTTTGTATGTTTTAGTGATTCACACCCTATTATCTGATTTAAACTGTTTTCTGAAGGCACTCAGCACACTAGGAGCAGTAAAATGAAAGTAGCTGAAAACTTTCTAAACGTTAATAAAGTAATAGTGATTCCCTAAAAGCCTAAAAGCCTGTAGACTGGTACATACATCAATTCCCTACAATCATAACTATCTAACTTAAGTATTATTTTCATAGTGATTACTGAAGACTAAGCCTTATGATTAATAACTGAATAACAAGTCTAGTGTCCAAGGGGTTGAACTCTACTTAACTGTATTGCTTTTTTAGCTGACCTTCATACACGTTCTGCTGAACCTGAGATGATTCAGGATTTGCACTTTGTTGTTCAGCATGGTCAGGGAGCGCAGGCTTTAGGCTCTCTTTATCTTGGCTGGGCTGCTGGAAAGTAAACAGGATGCTCATTAGACAGGCATCATCACTTCCGTACACTGCATCTGATAGACTCTCCTGTTTTCTCTAAAGGAACAGCGGTCTGGCACTAATGAGGTGAAACTCAATCTCATAAAGTAATGTCCTGCAATGCCATTACCATAACAGAATACTGCATCATGCAGCCACGTGTCTAAGAACCAAGATAAACTTCCGCCTGACACAGCTATTTCTGTTAGGGCCGATCATATCTAACTAAATATGAATATGATAGAAAAAAAGCCTAAAATAACAAAGGATTCTAGGAAACAGACAGATATTGAAATGAACCACTGAAGTTTTGTGATAAAATATTTATTAGTAATAAAAATTATAAATCACAGTCGGGCAACACAGTTACTCATTTATGCTTTATTACATGGTCTTTAACACACTTGAACCACTACAACTGGCTTGAATGGTGTAAGATCACAAGTCGGGTAGATGTCAGATGCTGTCAAGTGTGAGGTCACTCTGTGTGCCTGAAGGTGATAAGGCAGAACCCTTGAGCAAGAGCTCCTGCTCACACTAACCATGAGACGTATCATTCAGTCCCTTCACAAGGCACAGGGATGTAAATGAATAATTCAGTGCGGTCCCAGAGCTCCTTGATCCTCTCTGCCCTGCAGCTACTTGTCTCAATGCTGGAGACGAGTACTAGAACACGTCATTGGCCGAGTCTGAGTCTCCCTCTACAGTGCTGATACTGGGTGAGTGATTGTCCTTCTGAACTGATGGCAGCCTGACTGACATAAGCCCCACACCTCCTCCTGCATGTGGAGAAACCTCAGCTCCTGTGGGATAAACAGACAGAAGCTATTTCATAATGTACTTTATGCTGTGTTCAGTGGCACAATAAACAGCATTAAGATACCTGTTTCTGGGGTGCCTTGACATGTTAAATGATTGCATTATGAGATTAAGCTTTGATGTATAGTATATTAATAGGGAGACTTGTTTTCAGTTTTTCTAAGACATCTGCAGGGGTATTTTTCCACATCTCCAAAGTTAAATTTTAGAAGTTGGTTTAGAAGTTGGTCAATTCCTGTCAGGAAGAAACTTTTGTATTTCAGTTAGGTTCCTTGGACTTTCCCCTTCCTTATGCAAGTGGATTATTTTATGCATAATTACCCCAGAAATGTCTCCTGAAAAGTGAACAACTTTTATTTAATGGTAAGTAATTTGAATGACTAATATAAAGAATATGTGGCAGCTAGCATTAGCAAACTAGGGTCTTCCCAGGCAAAGTATTGCTTGTAGATAGGCCTAATTGATGGTACAAAAATGGAAATGTAACCATGGAAGAGGAGATCATATAACAAAATATTTTTTTACTTTTTCTCATATTCTTTGGACTATATTCCTTTAAATAACCATCATGTCTGACTTATGTCACAGCCGTGTAAATTATCAATCAACTATTCAACATTTACCTTCACTGAAATTCATATATTAAGTATGAGAATGAAATTGTTTTAAAACCTGGAAAAGTAAAATGATCAGTTATTGTTATCAGCCTAAAAATTCTATTTCAGGACATCCCTATTTATAACTATGTTATTTATTTAAATATTCTAAAAAACAATTACTGTACTGCAGTTTATCCAGTATTACCTCACCAAACACAACTTTATGGCTGTTAATGGCACCTGCTTTAACAACTTTACACCCCGTTACGTAAGCCTTACAACGACTCTTTCAAGTGGCAAAACAAACAGGCATCAGTCAGCGTCCGGTGCTTGGAGGAGGCAGGAGCCGGAGGCCATGCAGGCACTTAGCCTGATCAATGGGGCGTATAGGAGCTGGAGAGGAGAGCCCAGAGAGACGCCACCTCCTGCCTGCCCTGCTACACACTCACACTGATCAGCTCTGGCAGCACAGCCTGTGGTGGAGCTGAATCACGCAGAGACAGCTACACAGCGCTTCACAGTCCAAAAACAGGCTCCTTACAGCTTTAGAACAGCATTACAGCTTTTTAGAGCTTCATGAGGTACAGTGAATTACAGTATAAGGCCTCGCACTGAAAACTGAATACAGTAAGGTAGTTAATTTACTTCATATCAAATGTGGACTTAAATTTCCATATGAATAAATTATATTACATCATCACTTACTGCCAAAAGTAAGTAAACTCAAAGACAAGGTGGTGCTGACATAATACTTTTTATACAAGTAAATTCAATGCATCACATGGTGTAGAGTTGCTTCTGGCAGAATGAAAAATGTCTGCATGGCAGTACTGGGTGCTGTTCAAAGCAAACTGGCGCCTGGATTAATAAATGCATTTTATTCCAAGTATTATCAATAACACACTAATTCAAAAACAAAGGTTTAAAGAACTGATATGAAGTCATCAATAAAAACAACATGAGACAGTGATATGACTCTCAGCGGAGTATGATGCGGTTTCAATTTCAGTTTGGATTACACAGGATCTTTTGTCTGTTGCCAATGCTGGCAGAACACTCTTCGTATTGTGTAACTGCATTAATACAACTGCAAACGCTGCAATAACATTCAGACAACACAGCAACACCACTTCAGAAAATGAGATATCATCAAAGTATCCAGTGACTATATCTGTACCTTGCTCTGAAAGCTTCTTAGTGAGTAGAGATGCAACTGCTTGCCACTAGCATTTAGCTTGATAAAAAATTTGCGTGCTTGAGGCTGAGACGTCTGTAGTGCACACCTCACACCACAGTATCTGCCACCCCAGCTCCTATTTGCACTTATGTTTTTTTAAAGTGGTAATGACGACTAGTCGACTAGTAAAAATTAATAGTCATGTAACGCCTAGTCTTCATTGAACATTCTGTAAAGCCATTTTGAATAGTGAAATGCGTGTGTTTCTAAATTTCCCTTTAAGATACTGAACGTTTTAAATGGTTAGCGCAAGAGCTATGGACACTACCAGGTGGCCTGAGCTGGTTTGATGGGCATAGCTACAGTAACTAAGGGAGGTGGGACTTTTGCAATTGAACAACAAGTGGTTAAAAGCTGAAACAAAAAAATCCAGATCTGTGCCTTCAGCTCTGATACCGACTGAGACGGGGCTTCAAGAGCTCCAGGACCCCTTTTGCCTTTAGCCTCTCTGCTTGGTTTCAGCACAACATCCATAGGCTGAACACAGCCAGACCTGTTTGTGCTGAGCAGATGGACAAAGATCAGCCCAGTCTCGCGTGTGGAAACCCTGCGGCCTACAAACACTGCAGCCTGTCTGCAGTGGAGAAAGAGAGAAGGGAGAGCTAAATACAGCGAACGAGCATGAACGACCAGTGGAACCAACTTTCTTTGAAGCTTAAAATACAAGTAAACAGCCCTCGGCCATGCTTACCCAAATAGGCTTGTGATGATGAGTGATGAGCTCTACTGAGCAGCATTCAATAAAATATACTCATGAATAGGCTCATAAAGGTAAAGGTGCCAAAACGGTTCTTTGGAGTGATGCCACAGAAGAACCACCTTCGGTTCCCTAAAGAACTTCTCAATGGATAGTTCTTTATATAGCTGCAGTTTTAAACAGCAGTAAAACAGAAAACCTGTACACTTTTAGGAAAACAGTACAAGGAAATAGTGTCTAATTCACTCTGTAGTAACTGACTGTATGCACACATTCGACAGATAGAGACTGGGTTAAAAAATGCTAGTTTTCCTTTACAAACCATCCACTGAAATGTTTTTTAGGGAGCCATAGGTGGTTCTTTAATGGCATCAGTCCAAAAACCCTTTCAGTACCTTTATTTTTAAGACCGTACACAAAAAAATACCTTATAGAGATGCCAGAAGAGTTTCTGATGTAAGGAGCATGAAGGAGAAAGAACTACATGGAAATATTTCTCAGTATCACTGCTTCAAAGAGGGGTTTCCTTCCCAGGCAGCTGTTTGTATCTCTTGCTCACTCTGCCCTTTCTGCTGCTCCTCTCAAGACCGCCATGGCTGCTAGTGGCCTGCCAAGCCTTTGAAGTGAGAGCGCCAAGGCAATGATTTCACTTTCTATGTGGGCCTTAACAAATATTCACAGCTGTGCGAATGGATCCAAACTGCATGGCCAAAACAACCAGACTAGAGTGAGCAGGCAGACACTGCTGCTGAGAGAGGAGGGCACCAGAGGCTTTAATGATGCTATGATGGACTCTCTGGTGCTTTTCTAATAATGAAAGTGCTTATGAGGGTCTGTGGCTCTGAAACAGAGAAAAACAAATATTTGTTTTCTTTCTTCCTTTGTATATACCAGAGGGGCAACAGAATTTTAATATTAATGTTACTCTCAAAGCTTTGAGGAGAAATGAGGAGAAAAAGTAATACAACTTAGCCAAACAAAAAATTATCTTTTGAAAAAATGTTGCAATATATTGCAATAAATTCGATTCATCTGTTAAAATATAATGACAAGATATAACAATATATTTCATTATCATTGGGGAAGATTTCACAATGAAATGTTAGCAACTCTTATATGTCCCATATCATAAAAAGCACATTTATTTCACTTTTTTAAATAAAAGAGTTTGATATAGTATGTAAACATTAAGTTTCAAAACATACCACACAGTCCATGGAATGGAATGGTATGAACACTAAGCTGCAAATGTTACCCATTTTGAATGTCACAAAAACTACACTGTACACAATGTACATAAATGTACATAAAATACATTTACTCATATCTACCTGTTCCGTCTTTAGCAGTTTTGCCCCGCCCATTCACACTGAAGTTATAAAGAGTGTTTCAGCCTGAAATGTTTTTTGAATGTGGCACAATACAGGGAAGCTGATCAAAACAGAGATCATTTTAAAGGCACATTGCCAAAACCAGCATGTTTAATTCTAAGAGAGGATGGAAAATGTTCATGGAAAAATTAATCGCAGCTGTTTTTGGTATATGTTATGAATAAAAATAAAAATAAATGTAGAATTATAGACCCTTTAAAATGTGGCTGTTGCCTCTGCACTTTTGTGAGGTGAGTGCCCCGTCAGGTCATGTAAAGGAAGTGCCAAGCATCAAACTTTTACATCTAAATAAAGCTAAATAAAGCAAACTTCCTCAGTTAGACCTTTACCTACAAGCCAAACATGCATAAAACTTTGATGGCTAAAATCATTTGTCTTTTCCCTATGACACACACGAAAGATGACATAGAGGCCAATACAATTAACCCACTGAAATGTCCTGTGGAACTGCTGTTTCCAAAAGTGATACACACTAAAAGCTCCATTCTTTATTGATGCCTCAGCAATTTGGGTCTTGCACATGTCAAGTTATCAGTTCAAGATGCTGCTTGCCCCTAAACAGGCACATCCCACCCCCTGCTGTTCAACTATTAATGAAAGATAAGACAGGAGTTCTATTCAGTGAAGTATTTAATAGGAGAGTGAGCTGCTCCATGAGCTTCCTGTCCCACTTATCAGGATAAGCTCCTGTCTGGAGATGAGGAAACGTTTCTCAACAGGAAATACTTGGCAAGCACAGTGTTAAATTTGTTCCCATGCCCTTCCAGCTGCAATGAAACTCAAGGACAGGCTTTGAAGTGGCAGTGCAAATATAGTTCAACATGCAGCGGCACTTCATTTGAAATCTGGTAACGGCAAGATCAAAGATGTGACATGGTATACCTTCAAACAACAAATTTTCTCCTAAGCACTCAAGGTCTGCGATGCACGCTCTCAGCATCAAACAGGATGGGTGCACAATACTGACTATCAAAGGATACGTGCTTTTCATATGATCCAATGTTGTGATGTTGATGTTAGTGGTTAAAGTCATCCTTAACTTCAACAACAGCACGAATGTGAATTACCTGAATCGGAAGCATCCAGAGCAGGCTTGCCTTTAGCGCATTCATTTCAGACGTCATGTCATTCTATCCCTCTTCTGTTCATACCGAAATGAAAAGGGGTTCACTATTTTTACAGCCTTTTCCACTTACTCGTGTATCAAAGCTCATCTCCAAGGCTCCACAAACCAACAGGATCAAAGATGGAAATTAGTTTTAACCAGCTGGGTCAGCCATGTCATTTAATTTTGAGTATCGGTTGGAAAAGGTATTTGCATTTTTAAAGACAAAAGAACCACAAAGCACACACTTTAAGTACAATAAGGTGATGTGCTAGACTGCCAAATATTCTACAACATTACAGCAAAAGCACTTCATATTCAGTATGTGCAAAGCAACACACTCTAAACTGATACTTATTACTACTTGCTTGAAATTACGATACTTTAACACATTACGTTTCTATTTCAGGCTGCTATAACATACACCAGGAACTCATTTCTCTCAATTGTAAATGTATTTTTACTCTTACTTTTAAACTTTTACTAGTTTAACCAGCTAGTTTGCCAAACCACAGCTGTCAGCTCTACACAAATTACAAGTAGCTATAGCACTGTTTTAATTTCCATTTAAAACAGTTTTACGCTGTTTATGTTGTAAACAGAGCATAACGAGATGGGAGAGCCTGACTAGAATTGGATCAGGCTTAATATAGCTGGTACCAATTCATTAAAACATTCATTATATGGACAAAAGTATTGGGACACACCTGTTAATTATCGAATTCAGAGCTTTTTACAATATTATATTTGACATACATCCCATTTGGTCAGTTTTTTTGAAGAAGTGTGTGGCAGCAGGACTACATCAAATTCTGAACCCCTACACTTCATATGCCTTTAGTGGCAGCTGTAGTGGAGGAACAACTAAACAAACTATTCATGCAGAATGAAACTAAATACAATTAGTAAAACAAGATGGGCTGTGAAGTGCTTTACAGACAGACTGGAATAAAATCACATTCAGGTTAATCGGGCAAGTATTGAAAAACTGAGCTGAGCCTGATATTTTGATGGCTCTATCCATAATACAAAAGGCTACTATTTTTTGGCATACTGAATTGCCTATGTTAAAGCACATCTGATACAATGTTGAGGGCTTCTTTGCTTCTTGATCTACAGCTATAACCAGTTGCTATATTGTACTAAGGTATTCAGTCATTACAGTCTTTCAGTTATGGTCCTCTATATATTTTCTTTAATGTCTGCATTTTTCTAATGCTTTGTTTATCATATAAGCTTTTGTGCACTGCCACAAGCAAGATGAACTGTTATGCCATCATTGTGACCACACACTTACATGCAACCATGACAACAAAGCTCTGATTGGTCAGTCTGATTGTTAGTGCGCAGAAATTTGACTGGCTTGGAATAAAAATCTTATGCAGTGTCTCAGGCTATCAGTTTTGGGCTCAATGTAAAGCAAAATTATATCTGTGTTCATTTTCAAACATTGTAACAATGTAAAAATGGGGGACATTCCTAGTTTTCACACAGAGGGCCAGGTGGTTAGGGCGATCCTCATCTTTCAAATTCTTAAGCTTGGGACAAAGATAACCCAGGTCAAAGAAGCTAACTACAGGATGACCTTGATGAACTGTTGAGAGAGGCCAGGTGCAGCAGTGGCCAAACATTTCAACAGAATATAACAGACTCTAAGAATAAAGCAGACTCAAAGGGATGACAAATACTACCAACATCTGGATATGTTCCAAAGTGGTAGAGTTTGAGAGGAAGATCTGACTCAAGTCTGCAACTGTGTTGAAAATGTGTATGTGTAAAGGCACTGACAGACAGACACACACACACACACACACACACACACACACACACACACACACACACACACAAAGTAAAGTTTTCTATAGTCTTCTCTCCAAAGACACCTGCAAACACTTAAGAGCGTTCTCCACCCTGTTCCAAGCTTTCAGGCTGACAGATGAGTCCAACCCCACTCTCACTCTCCTCTGTCTTATTTTTCCTCTCCCCCTCTCTTCCCTAGCTGCTAGGAGGGGGGGAGTTGGGACTGAGGTATGAGGCTGTTTGGCAATGTTCTTCTAGAGGTTATTCTGTGGGTGGTGTTTGATGGACCTTTTTAGCAGCGCTCAGGGCTGTGAGAACAGTAAAAGGACGATATGCACCGTGTTAACTTGAAACAATGAAACGAGGATGAAGTCACTGCTAGAACGACTTCTGGTGGAAAAACATGTGAAAACAATCAACGCATACCAAACTATTTAGAAAATACCTTTACCCATGTTCTCAAAGAAAGCATCTGTGTCATTCGAGCTTCTTCTCTGGCTGAGTGATTCTGAGAAAAGATAAACAGACAAAAGATAAACAAGTTAAATTGCTGACGCAGTTAAAACAATGAAATAACATTTATTTTTGTTACACATGGACACACTGCTTTAAAGGAACAGCCTGGAAAATATTAAAATTAAACAACTTTTCCTGAACTTAAATGCAGTCAATCAGGCGAGACATGTTTAGTATCTAAAGTCTGCTTCTTTAGTTTTGCCCTGGAGCTACTGCACTAGATGTTAAAGTAGTTAACAAATAATGGAAGCGTATACCCCACCAATCAGCATCTCACAAATTGCAAAGACGTTACACACTTGTCTCAAACCATGTTGAACAGACTTGCTTATGCGGTTTTCTAGAAGTTGATGGTATGGCCAAAACTGTGTATATTTATATGGCATGGCTAAAAGGTTTGATGGTTTCAGTACGTATTAGAGCATAGTGTATTTAAGTATACAACCCCATTTACAAAAAAGTTGGGATGCTGTGAAAAATGTAAATATAAACAAAATGCAATGATGTGCAAATCATTTAAACCCTATATTTCACTGAAAATGAAAGACAACATATCAAATGTTGAAACAGAAATTCTATTGTTTTTTGAAAAATATACGCCATTTTGAATTTGATGCCAACAACACATTCCAAAAAAGTTGGAACGGGGTAACAAAAGGCTGGTAAAGTTGCGTAATGCTTAAAAAAACACCTGGTGGTTAATTGACAACAGGTCAATAACATGATTGGGTATAAAATGAGCATCCCAGAGAGGCTGAGTCTTTCAGAAGTAAATATGAAGAGGGGTTCACCACTCTGGGAAAGACTGCACGATGAAATAATTCAAAAATAACATTTCTCAAAATAAAATAGCAAAGAACTTTTGCTTTTCATCATCTACAGTAAATAACATTAAAAGATTCCAAGAATCTGGAGAAATCTCTGTATGCAAGGGACAAGGCCAAAAAACAGTATTTGCTGGGCATGATCTTTGGGCCCTCAAGTGGCACTGCATTAAAAACAGACATGATTCTCTAGAGGAAATCTTTGCATGTGCTCAGGAACACTTCTGAAAAACACTGCCTGTGAAACCAGTTCAGTGCTGCATCCACAACTCTTAAAACTCTTAAACGCAAAGAAGAGACCATATATAAAAAGGATCCAGGAATGCTGCCAACTTCTCTGGGCCTGAGCTCATTTAAAATGGACTGAGGGGGGGAGTGGAAAAGTGTACTGTGGTCTGATGAATCAACACTTGAATTTATTTTTGGAAATCATGGACGCTGTGTCCTCCAGGTTAAAGTCCACACAGCTTGTTATCAGTGCACAGTTCAAAAGCCAGTATTCATGATGGTATAGGGGTGCATTAGTGCACATGTTATGGGTGACTGGCACATCAGTGAAGGCACCATTAATGCTGAATTTTTTGCCAACATATGATGCCACCCAGACGACATCTTTTTCAGGGTTTTTGTCAAACCACATTCTGCATGTATTATAACAGCACGGCTCTGTATTAAAAGAGTCTGGGTGCTAAACTGGCCTGCCTGCAGTCCAGACCTGTCACCACTGAAAACATTTGGCACATTATAAAATGAAAAGTACAACAAAGGAGACCCCAAACTGCTGAGCAGCTGAAATCCTATATTAAGCAAAAAATGGGAAAACATTTAATTTTCAAAACTACAGCAGTTGGTCTCCTTAGTTCCCAAATGCTTACTGAGTGTTGTTAAAAGAAGAGGTGATTAAACACAGTGGTAAACACGCCCCCGTACCGACTTTTTTGGATGGTGTTGTTGGCATCAAATTCAAAATGGGCGTGTATTTTTCAAAAAACAACACAATTTTGCAGTTTCAACATTTGATTTGTTGTCTTTGTACTATTTTCAATGAAATATAGGATTTAAATGATTTGCACATAATTGAATTTTGTTTCTATTTACATTTTGCACAGTGTTCAAACTTTTTTGGAAATGAGGTTGTACATATTTTCATATAAAACTATTTTAGAAGCTTAAGCAGATTAATTTTTGTAGGTTAACAGTGGCTTGTTGTTCTGGAATGTCCCTACATTTTAACAAGAAGCATTATTAAAATATTTGTAATGTGGAAAATAGTAAAAACAAAACTAAACAACTTATAGACAAATCTATACACAAATACATATGGATGCAGCAGCTTCTCAACAAAAATGATACTAAATGCTGTTTCACATCCGAATTTCTCAAGTCATTTGTCACATAAGTGCATCCAAAACACTAGTGCCTACACCTGGAATTTGCTAAATATTATAAGTCATGTTAGACCATACTCGGCTAACGGCAAACCTCAAGAAACTGGCCAATCCTTCTGAACAGTCTCAGAGCAAGAGGTAAGGGACCGCTATATTTTCATTTTCGTCATCCCTGACTTAGCCTTTCAGTTAACTGGGATAACTTTAGCATATTCTGCACTGTTTACTGTCGCATTATCTGCATTTAGTTGTGGCATATCTGCATATAATGTATGACAAAACTCATGAATAAATTCAACTGGTATAATGCTCCCTTCTACTGTTGTCTATAAAAATGACAGAAAGTACAACTTTCAAGATGGCTGCTACAACTGCCTGGAGTTCTGCAACATGGTAGGAGCCAAGCCTGCTATGGCATGTAGATTGCATGATATTTATTGATCAAGTATAAGCTTAAATTGTTTCTGAGCTACACTGGCCTCATAGCTCCTGTAGAAAAACTAAAGAAGCAAATTTATGACACCAACTATGTCTTGGCTGATCAACTACATTTGGAGTAATGAGGAAAAGAGGTACATCTTCAGAATCTTAGGTAATTGTACCATATTCCGCTGCAATTATACGCATCTTCAAAAAATGCTGCTTTCTCTTGGTCAAAGTTCTTCTGAATTTGACCAAAAGGTAGAGCAACAAGCATCTCTGAAGATCAGGGATATTCTAATCTCTTACCAGAGTTTCTCTGGCACAGGGAGAAGAAAAAAGACTAAAGCTAAGGATTGAAAAAGTAAGAAAATGTGCAAGGAGGGGTATGCACACACACATTCACCTTTCACCTCCCCTAAAGGCATGACTAGGTGTGCTACAGACAGACATGTTCACCTTCACACTCTCACTGCCGCAAGCCAACGTCAAAACCATAAACAAGCAAACTCCACTCATCTCAGCTAAGACAGTCGGACTGCAGAGTGCAGAGTAAGAAGTGAGTGAACAGAGCGAGTGAGTGAGAGAAATTCTTCTGAAAACATTCTAACATCCTTCAAGCATGGAACACAATAGGCTCAGAGAACAAAAGGCATGCTCTGTTCAACTGTAAAATGGTGGCCGGAGAGGAGACAGCCCTCGGTCATGCCTGCTTATGGTGGAAACGTCCGCCTGAGCAAACCCCTGCTGGACCATGACATCAGCCAGAGGAACAAAAAAAGCTCCAGAAAAAAAAAATCCTCTATACTGACTGTTTTGTTCTTCTGTCAGTCGCAGAAGCCCTCACAACTTGAGCAACTTCCTGCGCAGAGAATGTAGAGTGCACGCTGTTTATGGGAGAAAAGCGGATGACAGGCACTGAAAGTGAGGCAGTGTGGACTGCAGGGATTCAGAAGAGTCCTACAAAGGACCCAGCAGCAGCCTTACAAATGAAGGATAGAGTACTCTATAGGAAGTGACCACTGCGCTAGCCATCTGAATGACTGTGAGCTGCTTCAAAGGTGTTTAACAAGTCTTTGGCTCAATGTATTTCCACTGTTCTGTGACATTCTCAATGAGTAAAATGTGAGTTTAAACATGCACAAAGTATTATGGTTGAAATTCAGCGGAACGTGAAAGTGTGAAATGGGTCTAAGTGAGTTCGTCTTTCCTCAGCTGGAAACATCTGCTCTGATGTTTCATGATTCACAAACACTCCCCCAGCACACCCTTGCACACAGCAAAGAACCATGCAAGTGAAAGAGAACTAGCAATTGTTGAAATATCCTAACTTCAAGACACACCTCCCATTGCCTAAATAAATAATAAAAAAACAATCAAAAAACTAAATAAATAATCATCTTCAGTACTTCAGTTGCATGTTAATTGTCTCACCAAGAACAAAGCAACAGAAAATTATTTCTTTGCATTTTTATTTCCATGGGGCAATAATAACTAGCAATGTTTGTTTTCCCTTTACAGTTTTAATAATGTATTTATAATAATTAATTCATGTAGGTTTTATAGTTAATAACAGTTTCATTATTAAATTATTGTGCTTAAAAAAGCATTTTCAACTATCTGCATATAACTGCGTTATTTATGAGGAAATAACACTTTTTCTTTTTTTTCCCCTCATCTTTTAGGGGCATTGCCCTGATGTTTAAAACATTTTTAAATGAATGAATCACAACAGAAAATATACAAAAACATTAATGCACAACAAGTAGGTATGATTACTGAAAAGGATGATTTAAAGGTTAAAATATTAATGTCATTGGGACTCCTGTGAAGGGTTATGTATTTTAAAAATATCTCAAAGAAAAAAGTTGTGAGGCTGTGAAAAACTTAAGCAAAAACAGAAGGCAACGATGTGCAAAACACTTACAGCCTATATTTAATTGAAAATAGTACAAAGACAACATATCACATGTTGAAACTGAGAAATTTGATTGTTTTTTGAAAAATATATGCTCATTTTAAATTTGATGCCATCAACACGTTTCAAAAAAGCTGAGACTAGGGCATGTTTACCACTGTTTTGCAACAGCTCTTCTTTTAACAACACTCTGCACGCATTTAGGAACTGAGGAGACCCTTTGCTGTAGTTTTGACAGTGAAATGTTTTCCCGTTCTTTCTTGATATGGGACTTCAGCTGCTCAACAGTTTGGGGTCTCCATTGTCATATTTTTTGTTTCATACTGCACCAAATGTTTTCAATGTGTGACAGGTCTGGACTGCAGGCAGGCCGGTTTATCACCCAGACTCGTTTACAAAGGAGCCATGCTGCTGTAATACATGCACAATGTGGCACAATGTG